GTCAGTACCTCGAGTTGTACAATGCGGTGCGCAAGGCCGAGTAGCGGCGCTAGTGTAGCGGCAGCCTCCTCTGCAAAGTCATCTCCCACCGCCTTCGCCGCCTCCACCCGTGCGTCCCATACATAGCTCCCCACCGCCCATCCTCAACGCCTTAGGCGGCGTGGTGCTTCAACTTGACGCCGTTTTGGGCGGGATCCGTCCCCACGCCGCCGGCGGCGCTCGGGGCCCCAAGAGAGTGCACGGCGGCCGAGCTCGCAGTCAGCCGCGTCGCTGCAGGGGTGGCTGAGGGGACGGAGGCTGAGGGCACGGCGGCGGAGCCGACCGCACTTGAGTTGGAAGCCCGGGGGCGGGCTGGTGCTGGTTCCACCCCCGTCGGCTCCCCTCAGCCCGCATTGGGCAGCGCCACGACGGCAGCGGCGGAGGCGCTCCACGGTGTGCCGTGCCCTGCCCGCTCCGTCACAAGGGCTGGTGGAGGTCCGTGCGCCGAGCGGTCGCAAGTACAGAGCACAAGATCGTGAGATTCTTAAATTCTCGAGGTTTCCCGGGGCCCTTTCGGGGGGCAAACCCTGCCCGCCCCCCCCTAGAAGCCCAGGTAAGTAAACGTAAGGGCTAAGGCCCAGGCGTTGCCTCTCTAAGCACTAAGTTTGCATCTATGTTCTTACATTTTTTTGGTTTTTTTAGTTTGGGGCAACGTTCTGCTGCCTCTGTGCGCCGCTGGTGTCGTCGCTGAGGCAAGTGATAGTTACAAAGCGGAAAGGAAACTTTTGCCACGTACGCGCGCGCGCACACACCTCTCAGTCTATCGGGGCCACGGCCATCCGAGAGGTCCGCGGCTACTGACCCTACTGCGCGAGCAAAAGGTCTGCTGTTTCAATCGACGTCTTCAAGCACGGCAGTGCCATGGCCGGCGCTACATCAAGGCAGCGAGAGGAAGGTACCGAGCCGTCGCCATCGGCGCCACCGCCTCCCACGCATCCAACGCAGGGTCGTACCGCTCCACCGAGCTGAGGTCGTCGTCGTGTTCGAAGCCACCCACAGCGTACAGCTTGCCCTCGAGCACCGCCACGGCGTGACCTTCCCGCATACTCGCCATCGACGCCACCGGGTCCCACGCGTTCGTCGCCGGATCGTACCGCTCCACCGAGCTGAGGCTGCCGAGGTTGTACCCGCCCACAGCGTACAGCTTGCCGTCGAGCACCGCCACGCCATGGTCACTCCGCGCCGCCGCCATCGGCGCCACCGCCTCCCACGCGTTCGTCGCGGGATCGTACCGCTCGACCGAGCTGAGGTTGAAGTTGTTGCAGCCGGCCACCGCGTACAGCTTGCCGTCGAGCACCGTCACGGCGAGGGTCGTCCTCAGTGTGTTCATCTGCGCCACCGCCTCCCACGCATTGGCCGCCGGATCGTACCGCTCGACCGCGGTGAGGACGCCCTCTCCGTTGCAGAAGCCGCCCACAGCGTACAGCTTGCCGTCGAGCACCGCCACGGCGTGATTGTCGCGTGGTGTCGCCATCGGCGCCACCGCCTCCCATGCATTCGTAGCAAAGTCGTACCGCTCCACCGCGTTGGAAGTTGCATCACCAGCCTCATTCCTGCCGCCCGCCGCGTAGAGCTTGCCATCGAGCATCGCCGTGCCGAAATACTTTCGTGTCGTTGGCATCGGCGCCACAGCCTCCTCCTCCCACTCATTCGTGGACGGGTCGTACCGCTCCAGCGAGTTGACAAGCTCGCCGTCGCTGTCGTGGCCGCCAATCACGAGCATGCGCGGCCTCTCGCGCTTCTTCAGCGTCTCCTTCCAGCCGCGGCGCCACGCGCGGCACGTCCCCTTGACGGCGTGATCCTTGGTCGGCAGCTGGGCGAGGATGTGCGGGGCGAGGTCCGGCGAGAGGAGGACCTCGGAGAGCACCCACTCGGGCTGCTCCACGAGCCGTGCGGCGTGCTCCTCCGCCACGCGCAGCGCGGCGGCGCTCGCGCCCGCCTGCGCCTCGATGATGGCGCACAGCTGTTCTGGTGAGAGGCCCGCGACGCGCGCGCCGATGCGGTGGGAGGCCATCGGCGCGGGCGCGCTGAAGTGGGGGGAGGCCAAACACGCACCTGGGGTGGGGGGGGGGGGGGTGGGGGCGGGTGGCAAGAAAGAGGTAGGACTCTGACCTGTTCCGACCTTGATCAGACCGAAGCTAGTGACTAAGGCATCGCGGGACCAACGCGGGAGGAGTCCAGACTCCAGTCTGAGAGCCATACCGCATTAGAGCCCGTCGGTTGTGACTGTGGTCTGTGCCCACGAATAAAACTTTAAGAAAAGACGAGCTATCTATACGCCGGCGCGGTGTTTGGCTTCGGACACGACGCGCACAACCTCGTCGAGCGTTGCGCTCGTCTTGAGGGACTTCGTCTCGCTGTGCGCCTGCGCGGCCCCAAAGCCGGCGCCGCGCAGCAGCGGCAGCAGCGCGGCGAGCGGCGGCTGGCGCAGACCCCGCTTGGCGAGCGCGCGCTGCACCTCCCCGAGGTGGTAGAAGAGGAGGGCGCCTTTCGCCTCCGCCTCCGCCTCCTCCAGGAAGGAGCCGAGCAGCCGGTCCGGCTCGCTCCAGCCGCGTGCCGCCGCGTCGCCTCGCATCCCCGCCACGAATTCGGCGTCGTGCATCGGCCCGACCCACATCGGGCCCATCACCTGGGCGGTGCGACCGAGGGAGTGAGTAGTGCAGACCAGCAATTGCGCAGCCGCCCTCGCCCACACGCCACTCCCCAAGACCTGCGGCGCCTCCCTCGGCGCCTCGCCCCTCTCTGAGCAGCAGCTGCACGGCGGCGCGAGAGAGGCGGCGTCCCCAAGCCGCGTCGAGGGCACACGCCACACCTCGCCGCAACTCGGGCAGCGAGCGACGTGCGAGAGCGCCGCGAAGGCCGAGGCGGGCGGCCGCTTCGCCGCGTCGAGCCGCATCATCACGCGGAACGTGGAGGAGGGGCGGTGGAAGAAGCTGAAGACGGGCGAAGCGGTGAGGTGCCTCGCCGCCGCCTCACGCGCCGCCGTGCCGACGAGCAGCCGCAGGCCCGCCTCGTTGCAGCCAGGGAACTTGTGCGTGACAGCGGCGTACCCGGCTGCTGCCTGGTGCGGGTTGCTGCCGCTGGTGGTCAGCGAGTCAGTGGCGCACAGGTAGACGAGGCCGCCCGTCCTGCACGCCCACCACGCCTCTGCGGCGTGCGGCTGGCCCGTGCCAAACGCGTCGGCGTCCACAAGGTCGTACAGCGACCCGTCCAGCCGCGAGCGCATGTAGACGTCGACGGCGTCGTCGGCGGTGACGCGTGCGCGGCCGGCCGAGAGGAGCGGCTCGAGGTTGGCGCGGAGCGGGTGCTCTCCGAACATGCGCTCGTTCGCGTGCACAAAGCTCGCGTTTGCCTCGTGAGAGTAGCGGAGAGCCCGCACGCCGGAGCCGGACATGGCGTCGAGGACGCGAGGCGCGCGCTGGTGCTGCCGGCCGTGCGCCGCGAGGGCGAGCACGCCGAGGTCGCGGATGATCCGCGAGGCAGGCCGGTAGAAGAGAGGCGCGCCGCCGCCCTGCTGCAGCCGAAACGAGACGGAGCGCTCGCGGCACTCTTCGGCACAGGCGACTGATCGGGAGCGGCGCCGGCCCGCCAGCGGCAGCGCGGCTCCTCGGCCGGCGGCGGCGGACGCAGGAGCGACCATTGGCGGAGGAGCTCTTGAGAGTCAAGGGCGGCACTCTAGGGAGGTCGAGGAGGCGGCGGGGCGGCGATGTGATGCTCTCGAGGTCTCTTGGGCCCTCTCCTCTCGAGGTAGTTCTCGGCCAGGTTTGCATGGTATTTTGTCGATTTCCTCAATTTTGCCTCAGATTTTGCCCCAGACCAGCTCTCAGACTCAGGGAAACTCGCGAGTTTCCAGAATGGAGCACCAAACACCCTCTGTTTTCTTTCCCTGGAAATTTCCGGAAACGCAAAGTGCTGCTGCTGGGGACCCTCTCTCTGTTTTCCTTTTTGTTTTCCGGAAAACCTGGCCGAGCCCAACTCTCCAGGTTCTCGAGGTTCTCGAGGTTCTCGAGGTGGATATCCTTTGGCCGCGTTGGGTAGCGAGGATTGGTGTAACCCGAGCCACGGAGTAAATCCGCGTAGAGGGAGCGGACCGTGAGTTGAGGAAATCCGGGGACGCGACCCACCTCGCCACAGACGGTCCCGCGCCTCGCCGCTATGACCGCTGCACGGCCCGTACCGTCCGCTGTGCATGTACCGCCCCTCCGATCTCCTCCTCGATCGCGACGTTGTCGAGTACCGCTTGCGGCGCACCTCGCCTCCACTCCCCGCCACCCACTAGGTCGTCTATCTCTTGCCCATGTCCGAGCGTGTCCGGTTCGTCACTCCCCCACCATGCGTCCCCGCCGATCGTCGCCTCTCCATCGGCGGCTACTCTCCACTCGTCGCCTCCCCCCGTCAGGGCCATCGTCTTTTTCGTCTTTTCCTTCTGTGCATCGCTATCTGCTGCGTCGCTCTCTGTGCTCGGCTCCTTGCCTAGGTATAATGTTCTGAAGGGTAGCGCCGAGCTATGTCTGTCGCGTTCGGTCTCGTTGCGCGTGCTCTCTTTGATGTTGTCTTGGCGTTGTCCTGCCTCGTCACTGTGGGAGGCAACCTCGACGTGTCGTTTTATTGTGGACCACATCCTGGTCAGCGTGTCGTCGTTTGGTCTCTGCGCCCCCGCCGTGTCCGCCCAGGTGTCGATTGCGGTTAGCATTGCTCGCATACCAGCCTCTCCTCTCGTTGCCGCTCGTTCGATGCGGTCGCGGGTGCTGAACGGTATTAATTTTGTGTCTTGCGCCTCCCTGAGCGCCTCTAGCTTCGCGCCCCCCATCGCCGCGATGGTCCGGTGGCGCTCCCATGTCCGTTTTGTCGCGCCCTTCCATTTAATTAGGGTCCACACCCCGTAATCCTTTTTTCGCCCCAGTATGAAATTACGGCTTCACAGTTTTGCCTTCCGGGTGGGGGTGTCGGCCTCTTACAGTACAAAGATCGATCCGATCCCACAGTACCATGTGGGACGTGGAGACGCGAGGGTTGCCCCCCCCTTGCCCCACCACCTCGTGTGTGTGGAGAAGTTTACCTTACCTTACCTTACCTTACCATGTGGGGCCCGCCAGTGTACCTGCTGGTTCCCGACACGCAGCAGCAGCCGCGTCAGCGCCGCGGCGCCCGACTGGTGCTCGACTCGTCCAGCTTGACCGCCTGCTCGATGAGGCGCACCGCCTTCGCGCGCGCCGCCGCCGACGGGAAGCGCGCGCGCCGCACCTCGCCCGACCGCAAATGCAGCGCCAGCTCATGGGACCGCTCCACGCACTCCCACACGGCAATCTGGCTGAGCGGCTCCGACCAGACGAGCGCGGTCGCGGGGGCGCCTCCTCCTCCGCCCCCACTGCTGCTGCTGCCCGCGCCGCCCTCCCCGCTGACCGAGAGCAGGATGGCGTGCCCTGTCGTGACGACGAGCGAGATCTCCGCCTGCGGCGGGCTCGCGCAAGGCACCTACCTCACAGCCGCAGCGTGAAGAGGCGGCGGCGCCGCCGCACACCCTTGCGCGCCCGCGGCGCCTGGCTGCAGAAGCGCCCCGACGCGAGGGAGCGGACGCCGCGCCCCGTCACCGCGTCGTACAGGGCGCGCTGGATGCGCGCGTCGGCGTTTGAGAAGAGGCGCAGCTCGCCTAGCAGGTTCCTACAGGTTCCTAGAAGGTTCCTAGGCGCCCGAGAAGAGGAGGCGCAGCTCGCCCCACAGCCCAAACGTGCGCGGCTGGCGGCGGCGGCGAGTCAGGCCGCGCAGCACCGTCGTCTGGCTCTTGAGGCCCTCGGCGGCGGCGGTGATGCCGTCCGCGACTCCGACCGCCGGCTTGACGACGAGCCCGACGGCGCCCTGCGCCACGCCCTTGAAAAAGCCCCCGAAGCCGCCTCTCTGCGCGCCTGTTCACAGCTGCAGGTGTGGAGAGACGCTGCTCACAGCTCCGGCGAGAGGCCGCCTCTCTGCGCGCCCTGCAGCGGCTTCTGGATCACGCCCGCCACGCCCTTGAGCAGCCCGCCTGCTCACACAGCCCTCGCGATCTCTCGGCGCGCCCGCCCGTCTTCGCAGTCGCCGCGCGCTGGCGCAGCCCGCCAGAGACAGACTCGGCCGTCTGCAGCAGCCCCTCCCCGATGTTGCGCGGGCCCTCCTGCTGCTGCACCTGCGGGCCAGGCGGACGAGGCCGCCGAGGCTCGGGTGAGCTTGGGGCGTCGCCCCGGGGCGATCCCGGGGCGATCCCGGGGCGATCCCGGGGCGATCTCGGGGCGATCTCGGGCGATCTCGGGCGATCTCGGGCGATCTCGGCGCCTGCGCCGACGACGCCCTCCGGTCGAGATAGTCTCGGTCCTACACGGGAAGAGCGGGAGGGCGGTGACGCGCACGCCGTGCAGAGGCCCTCCCTGTCGCGTCTCGCTCCATCGACAGCTCTGCGAGCCCCTTGCCCAGCGTGCCGGTGAACTTCCCGACCGAGTCCGAGAGCCCGTAGGTCAGGTTGTTGGCGAGCGAGCTGCCGCCGCGCAGCACGCCTGTTCACGGCTGCAGGTGTGAAGAGACGCCGTTCGCAGCTCCGGCGAGCTGCCGCCGCGCAGCACGCCCTGCGCGAACTCGTCGGGCCCGCGCATGATCCCGTTGAGCGGCTCGTAAAACGCGTCCGTCACGCCGGTGGCCAGGTGCTGGAAGAGGCCGCGCGGGTTGCCGAGCAGCTCGACCGAGAGGAGGAGCTTGTACAGCTGCTGCAGCAGCTGCTCGCGGTACGAGTCGCCGATGGCCTGCGCCAGCGTGCCGACGGGCGCGAAGGTGTTGTCGAGGACGAGCGCCTTGAGCTGCAGCGGCGCCGAGTCGATGTTTGACAGCACGGCGCTCACCGAGTTGAGCACTCCCACGGCGCTGGCCGGCGCGTTCTCGAGCACCGCCTCGAAGCCGCGCCCGCCTACGCTCTCGGGTGCTTGCTCGGGGTCAGATCGGCTGCCTCGTCTCGACGCACGGCCTCGCGGCGTCGCCCGCCCGCGACGGAGCGGCAGCTGAGGTGGAGCCGGAGCGGCTGCAGGTTGAGCCAGCGCAGGTACACCTTGGGCGGCACCACCGCGTCGGCCCGGCGCGGCTGGCCGCGCGTCGTCGCCTCGACCACCGCCGTCGCCATCTTTGCGAGGTCGAGGTAGGTGGAGAGGACGAAGAGGAAGAGGGTGCGCACCAGCACCGTGTCCACCATCAGCTCGAGCGTCTGCAGCCGGAGCGAGACCGTCTCGTAGTACAGCACCTGGCGAGGGCGGCCACCAGCCGTCTCGCGCCAGCTCGCGTCGCCATCTCGCGCCATCTCGCGCCATCTCGCGCCATCTCGCGCCGTTTCGCGCCATCTCAGGCGGTCTCTCGCGCCGTCTCGCGCCGTCTCGCGCCATCTCGGGCGGTCTCTCGCGCCGTCTCGCGCCGTCTCGCGCCGTCTCGCGCCGTCTCGCGCGGTCTCGCGCCGTCTCGCGCCATCTCGGGCGGTCTCGGGCTGTCTCGGGCGGTCTCTCTGGCGGTGTCGTGGGACGGCACCTGCGCGGCGCCGATGCGGCGCTGCACGAGCAGCTCGAGCGAGTGCGGCCTCACCGCCTGCTGCGCCTCCTCGGCGGAGAAGGAGGGCTGGAGCAGCACGGGGAAGGAGGCGGCCTGCAGCTGGTTGTCCACCTGCAGGTGCCGCACCTGCGCCGACAGAAAGTCTCGGCCCGACGACGCGCGGTAGCTCACCACAGGGTCGACGAGGCTCAAGTAGAGGAGCTCCTCGCACCCGTCCGCAATCAGCGACACGCCGAGGCACGCGAGCGACACGTGCACGCTCAGCCGCAGCTTGCCGTCGTCCTCTTCCGACGCCAGGACGGGCAGGGAGGGCACCTCCCCGGAGGCGGCGGCGGACGGCGCCGGCATCACCTGCAGCACCTTCACTGGCCCGTCTGCAACCATCCGGTACCGCAGTTCGAGCGGCGGGCGCGAGCCGGGCAGGGCATCGCGCTGCAGCGTCACGGCGAAGCGCGCGCGCAGACCCTCGTCCACCCACAGTGTCGAGTCGGACCAGCCAAACGAGCCGTCCGACGCCGACCGCTGCGACTGCACGGCGGCGTGCGCGACGGCGTGGCGGAGGTCGACCTGGGAAAGGGAGGGAGGGGAGGCGGAGATGCGCCGAGCCGAGCCGAGCCGAGCCGAGATGCGCCGAGATAGCGCGAGGGCGTGGCGGAGGCTCGTCCTCGCTCCGCCGCATCCCCCTCGAACGCTATCTCAAGTCTGATCTCGGGGCTGATCTCGGCTGATCTCGACCTCGCTCCGCCGCATCCCCCGCGAGTCGAGGTCGACCTCCAACCCCCAGCGGACGAAGAAGACGCGAAACGTCGCGCGGAGCCCGTCCGCCGTCCAAAGCTCGTCCCCGTGCCATCCGAACCGGCCTTCTCGCTGGCTGTGCCGCGCGCGCACCTCGGCGCGCGCGATCGAGCCAGGCAGCCTCGTCGTGGCGACGCCCTCATGCAAGGACTCGAGCCGCACGTCGCGGTAGCCGTTCCACTCGCCGGCGCCGTCTCCAAAGGCAGAGCGCGGCGCGGCGATGACGGAGGATGGCTCGTGCGGCGCGCCGCTCGCGCGCGGGTCGGCGCAGGGGATGGTGCCGCTTCGCTGGAGATCGTCAAGGCAGACCTTGCGCACGGAGCGGCCGACGTGCAAGTCGAGGGTCGGCGCGGCGACCACCTGCTCATCCGAGATTCGCCGAGATGAGCCCGAGAGCCACGCCGAGACACGCCGAGACACGCCGAGAGACGGCGACCGCCTGCTCCCACGCAAAGGGCGCGCGCGACGCGGGCAGCACCTCCTGCACGACGCGCGGCTGCTGCAGCGCGGCGCACGGGCTCTGCGAGATGAGCAGCGGGAGCGCGGACAGGTTGTCGACGCGGTACGGCGCGAGCTCGGCCGTCCGCTCCGAAAAGACGACGAGCATGCTCGCGCCGGAGAGAAGCTGCACGTCGACCGAGAGGAAGAGGACCGTCCGCCGGTTGGAGAGGCGGCAGACGAGGTTGAGCTCGCCTAGCAGCAGCCACGTCTCCTCCTCAGACCTCCCTCCGTCTCGGGAGGACGAGACTGCCAGGAACGGGCTCGCCGACGGAGTCGATCGGCAGCGCGTTGGACCAGTCGCACTCGGCAAGCGAGGCGGCGTCGGCGCCTGGTCAACAAGCCTCAACGGTGGACTGCGGATTGACTCAGTACTCAGTAGGGGGCCAGCAAAGGCGGCGTCGGCGCCGGCGTCGAGGAGGCAGACGGAGAGGAGGCGCGCGAGGCCGGGCTCGTCCTGCCAGTGGAAGGGTGCCCGCTCGCCTAGAAGGTTCCTAGAAGGTTCCTAGGGCTCCTCGTCCTGCCAGTGGAAGGGTGCCCGCTCGCCTAGAAGGTTCCTAGAAGGTTCCTAGAAGGCTCCTCGTCCTGCCAGTGGAAGGGTGCCCGCTCGCCCGGCCGCAGCAGCGCCGCAGTGTGGCCGCCCTTGCCGTGGTGCACGTAGCCAACCGGCCGGTCGAGCCGGTTGAGCAGCGTCGTGCGGTGCTCCACCACGAGCATCTTGGAGCGGCACGACTCGCCCGGCGCCGACGTGACGCCCAGGGCGAGCTGGTACGCGCGCGGAGGGCCGCCGTCGCTCGGCGCCGACCCGCCTCCCCGCCCCGCGGGCAGCTCGAGCAGCCCGGACGTGCCCGCCGCCTAGGAGAAGGTCCCGAGAAGGGCTCCGAGAAGGCTCCTAGAAGGAGCAGCACGGACGGGCCCGCCGCCTCGAGCGAGACGGCACTCGACCAGCACGAGCCGGGCAGCCGCAGCTCGAGCCGCTTCCTATCAGCGAAGACTCACCGCCCATGCCCTCTACCGCTGGCGAGCCGGGCAGCCGCAGCGCGAGAGGCTTCTCCTCGCGGTCACGGGCGGCATCACCGGCGCCGCCGCCGCGCCGGCCGCCTCGTCCGGCTCCGCGCCGCCGCGTTCCTGCGCGCGGGCGCGCAGCTCCATGCAGTACTGCCGCAGCTCGTCGGCGCCGCGCTGCGCGGGCTCCCCGAGCGTCTGCATGACCTGGGCTCGAGGCGCGCCGAGATCAGCCGAGAGTGGACGGGGTGGTGATCTCGTCTGGAGGGCGAACTGCGGCTCGGCGAGGGGCAATGGCGCATCTCGGCGCATCTCGGCGCGTCTCGGCGCATCTCGGCGCGTCTCTCTCGCGGCCATCTCGCGGCGCATCTCGCGGCGCATGTCGGCGCATGTCGGCGCATGTCGGCGCATGTCGGCGCATGTCGGCGCATGTCGGCGCATGTCGGCGCATCTCGGCGCATCTCGGCGCATGTCGGCGCATGTCGGCGCGTCTCGGCGCGTCTCGGCGCATGTCGGCGCATCTCGGCCGCCGGCCTGCTGCAGCTCGGCGAGGGAAAGGCGGCGGACGGCGTTCTCCGACATGCCGCCAAGCAGGTGGCGCGTGAGGCCGGAGAGGCGGACCCGCCGGCGCGTCCAGAGCCGCCGCCGCACGCCCGTCTTGGGCGTGCACTGAGGCGACCACGCGCCGCTCCAGCCCTTGGCGTACTCCCACCCCTGCTCGGTGACGGAGCCCGTCTTCCCGCCCTTGAGCCGCCAGTCCTACACGCCGCGGTGCAGCCTCGGGGTGATCTCGGGTGCTCTCGGGCCCGCCCCGACCCCCCCCCCTCGATCCGCCCGTCCTCCATCCACAGCCAGCCTGTCGGCAGCCAGAGGTCCGCCAAGCCGGAGTGGCGCCTACGGGCCCTCTCACCGCGTGTCGGGCGCAGCTCCTCCTCCGTCGCCCAGCCCTAAGGCCGGAGGGGCGCCTGCTGAGCCGCTCGTCGGAGAAGGCGCCTGTTCGCTCCTTCGGAAGAGGCGGTGAGCAAGCGGCACTCTTCCGGGAGGGAGGCTCGTGTGAGACGGCGCCGGCAAAGTCGGTCGGGAAGAGGCCGTCCGCCGAGAAGGAGTTGAAGGCCGTGCGGCGGCGCTGGTTCTCGGACACCGTCTCGCAGACGACCGCCGGCTCGTCGCCGCAGTACGCCTCCCTCGCGCCGTGCTCGCGCAGCAGCAGGGGCAGGCCGGTGCAGTTGGAGACCTAGCCGAGCACTCACCAGCCGTCAGTCAGGGACACCGTCACGCCGCAGCAAGCCGGCTGCTGCGGGAAACCCAACACGGCGCGACGAGCGAGAGAGCGTGCACGCAGCCGTGCAGCCGCTCGTACCTAGAAGGCTCCTAGCAGGTCCCTGGAAGGTTCCTAGAAGGTGCACGCAGCCGTGCAGCCGCGCGTACCCGATCGAGAGCGGCAGCCGGCTGTGGCGGCCGTCGTACACGGGCACCTCCTCGCAGAGCACGCCCTCGAGCGCGGTGTGCGGTGCCTAGGCTCGGGCACTCTCGGGGGCTCTCGGGGGCTCTCGGGCCGTCCCGCCCTCGAGAGCGGTGTGCGGCGCCGCCACGAGGACCCGCTCCGAGGGCCTGTACCCCTCGATGCTCACAGAGAGGCTGACCGCCGTGGCGGGCGCAAAGGTGTGCACCAGCCTCCGCCCGCCCGAAGGCAGCTCCCCGCGCAAGATGCCCCCCTGGCCGCGCAGCTCAAAGCCGAGCCGGCCCGACAGCAGGTTCCCTAACTCGCAATCCGTCACTCCTAACCAGCCATTGGTACTCAAACCGCGCCGGCCCGACAGCGGGGCTGCCCAGCTGCAGCGGCGCGCGCACGTGCACCTCGCACGCGCCCTGCCGGCGGCCGTCGTGGACGAGCACGCAGTGCCACGCGGCGCCTAGGAGAAGGTCCCGAGAAGGTTCCTAGAAGGTTCCTAGAAGGTTCCTAGCAGCACGCAGTGCCACGCGGCGCCGTGTCGCCCGTCCGCGTCGGCGCCGGGCTCCTCCGAAGCACACTCGAGCGGCGCGTGCAGCGCGCCCGCGTCGGCGGCGCCGTCGTAGCCCGGCAGCTGGGGCGCACGGGAGGCGGCGGTGAGGAGGAGGCGGCCGAGACCGGACTGGTCGGTGCCAGGGAGGGTGGGGATGGTCGGCGCCTGGCAGGCGGGCGACCACGCGTGCCCGCCGTCCATCGGCCGCAGGTGCAGCCGGTAGCTCGCGCGGTCGGGCCGGAGCGGGAGGGGCAGCATCGCGCCGGCGGGGAGGGGGTGCACGGCCTGGTTCACAGCCCAGAGGTGTGAGGAGACGCTGTTCACAGACGCTCGAAGCCGAGGATAGAGTGCGCGTCCTCCGTCTGCTGGCGCGCGCTCCAGATGCGAACCTCGAGCAAGTCGGCGGTCTGGTTGTGGAGGGTGGTGTCGGAGAGGAGGCGCACCTGCTCACAGCGTTCGCGCCGGACGTAACCAGTTCGCCATCCCGCCGTCGTCAACCAAGGAGGTGCACTACGCCGCACCTGCTCACAGCCCGTGCCGTGGCGGAGGCGCCCCTGAGCAGCTCTGGCCGCCGTGGGAGGGGGTCGGAGAGGAGCCGCGCCTCTCTGCACCCATCTGGCCGGAGGCGCAGGTCGCAGACAAGCCTACGTGGAAGGGAAGGCGGGGAGGTGGACGCCTCCAGACCCAAAAGGTGGGGCGCCTCCGACGAGCCGCGCGACGCTGAGGTGCAGGGCCCGGTGAGAGTGGGTGAGCGGTGTGTGTGTGTGTGTTTCTGTGTGTGTGCGTGTGAGAGAGAGAGAGAGAGAGAGAGAGAGAGAGAGAGAGAGAGAGAGAGAGAGTGAGTGCAAGCGAGCCTCTTCCTCAGCGGACTCGCGGAGGCCTGGTCGGGCAGCTCGAGCGGCAGTGCCTGCTGCCCCACGCGGTCCACCGGAACCTGCAGCGAGATCCAGCCGAGGTGCAGCCGAGATCCAGCCGAGGTGCAGCCGAGGTGCAGCCGAGGTGCAGCCGAGGTGCAGCCGAGGTGCAGCCGAGGTGCAGCCGAGGTGCAGCCGGGATGCAGCCGAGGTGCGGCCGAGATGCAGCGGAGATGCAGCCGAGCCGTAGCCGAGATGCAGCCGAGGTGCAGCCGAGATGCAGCGGAGCCTGCAGCGGGTGCGGCCACAAGTCGAGCGCGACGACGAGCGTCTTGGGCGGCGGTCCGTCGACGTGGCAGAGGGAGGGGCGGTCGACGTCGCCCCACAGGTTGACGTCGGTGCTCTCGCCCGGCACGAGGACGAGGCTTGGCGAGGATCGGCCGAGGCGGATCACGAGGCCCGTCTGGTTGACGATGCGGTGCGGGGCAAACGCCTGCTCACCACGCGGACGCATCAAGCAATCCGTCTCCTCGCCGGCCTGGGTGCGGTTGCGGTGCGGTTGCGGTGCGGGTGCGGTGCGGGTGCGGTGCGGGTGCCGGTGCGGGTGCGGTGCGGGTGCGGTGCGGGTGCGGTGCGGGTGCGGTGCGGGTGCGGTGCGGGTGCGGAGAGGGGGGGGGGGGGGTGTTGAGGCGCCTCCTCTGACGGCTGCGCGACGCCGGTGATGTCGTCGATGAGGGTCAGCGTGGTGCCCGAGACGAGCTCGCACATGGAGAGCGAGATGTTGATGTTGCACGCCTCGTCGGCGTGCACCTTGACCTCGGTGAAGGGAGGCTCGTCGCTAGGGCTCAGCTTGCCGCGCACGTGGAAGCGCCACGGCTCCCAGAGCGGCTCCCACGCCACCAAGCGCGGGTTGTGCAGGTGCATCTGCGCGCACCTGTTCACAGCAACCGCTGTGAAGAGACGCCGTTCACGCCTCGCGCGGGTCGTGCGGAGGCGCGGGGGCGCACGCGCTGCAAGCGACGACGAGCTTGGCGTCGCTGCCGGCGCACGACGCGACCACCGACGTGAGCGTCAGCGCGGCGAGCGGCTCGGCGCGCCCGTGCAGGTCGTTGATCGCAACCACACGCAGGCTCTCGAGCTCAGCAGACACGGCCAGCTGCACGCCGGCGGCGGCGCCTCGCGACAGGGTCGCCGCGGCAGAGTCGGGCGGAGTGGCGGGCCCTACTCTCAGGTCGACCTCGACTTGATCTTCGGGGCCGTCTCGCCGCACAGCCGGGGTGGCGAGGGGGGGGGTGAGGGGAGGGGGTGAGGAGGGGGGGGTGAGGAGGGGGGGCGCCCGGCGGCGTGGCCCGCGGCGAGGACGGCGGCGGCGGCGGCGCGGCGCCCTCGTCTGGCGGCGGCTGGCCGGCGGGGGAGAGGGCGGTCAGGATCTGGGTGAAGAGGGTCCAGTCCGAGTAGGAGAGGCAACACTCGACCGGCGACTCGGCTCGCAGCTTGAGCTCCTACAGACAGCGCGGCTCCGCGAGGCGTCGGGGGGAGGGGCGGCACTGCCTCTGCGCCGCCCTCCGCAGCGTGCGAGCTCCGAGCGGCGCGGCCCGCCGCTGAAGCGCAGCGACATCTGGGTCGGCGCGAGGACAGTCGTCGTCTGCTCGCCGACCGCGTCGCAGACGAGGAGCTGCACGTCGAGCGCGTCCGCGTCGACCTGCACATCGCGCCCCGAGCCGCGCCGCTTGACGCAGATGGCGCCTACCCGCCGCTCCGCGTGGGCTAAGGTGTGGACTCGCCCGACGGCGGGCCGCGCCCGCGCCAGACGCGGCGCCTCGCAGGGCGATGCCGCCCGTGCTGTCGAGCGACGGGTCGCGAGGGAGGAAGACCTGCTCACAGGAGCAGGTGTGGAGAGGCGCCGCTCACAGCGTGCAGGTGTGAAGAGGGAGGAAGACCTGCTCACAGGAGCAGGTGTGGAGAGGCGCCGCTCACAGCCGCCGCCGTCTCGGAGAAGGGTCTAGCGGGGAGGGGCGCCTCGCTCGCCTCGAGAGAGAGAACCAACACCTGGACCACGCGGCGGCCCGTGTGTGAGGAGACGCCGCCGCAGCCCGTCGGCAGAGAGAGAGGGGGGGGGGCGGGCGGGCGGGCGGGGAGAGGGAGAGGGAGAGGGAAGAGGGGGAGGGAGGGCGGGAAGGGGGGGGAAGGGGGGGCAGCAGGAGAGCCGCCGGCTCTCTCACCCTGCGGCCGAGGTCCGCCACCTCCTCCTCCTCAGGCAGACTCACGAGCCGCTCGACCATGGGGGAGACCATGGGGGAGGCGACCGCGCCGATCGGGCCGGAGAGCGGCCTCGCGAGCGCCTCCGCCTCCTCCTCCGCCGAGAGCAAGCCGTCGCCTCCGCCCTCGCTGCGCGAGAAGAAGTCCGCCGCCGCCCGAAAGGCGCTCGCCGCGTACGTGATGTGCACGCCTGATTCGCTGACTCGCTCATGAGTGAAGTTGTTCACACCAGGCGGCCGCCGCGTGCGTGCCGCGCGCGCCGCAGACTGAGACGACCGTGGCCGCCTCGTGGCCGCGGCCTGGCAGCCTCTCGACCGAGTGGCTCACCGACAGCTGCGCCGAGCTGGCGGCGGCCGGCTCCGCCGCAGGGTCGGACCACAGAAGCCTCTTGAGCCGCGAGCCGGTCGAGTCGGCTGGCCGCGTCCCTCGCCCCGACGGGTACCCGTCCCCGCGGCAGTCTTGGACGGCGAGCGCCGCGCTCGAGACGCTGTACACGGCCGAGTCGGCGCTCTGGCGCGCGCCGATGCGGACGCCACCCATCCACGCCAGCAGCAGCGGGCCGCCTCCGTCCTCGAGGGCCAGCTCCACCGCCGGAAGGACGAGGTCCATCCTGCGGACAACTGCGGCGGCTGCAGGCGGCGCCGGGGTCTCCTCTTCAGACGGCGGCTGCGGCAGCGCGGCAGCGGCGCTCTCGGCAGCGGCGGCCCGCTCTGTGGAAGCCTCCTCCCCGCCCGCGGCAGGCGGCGGAGCGGAGGCCGCGTCCCCGCCGCCGGCGAGGTTGCGGGAGACGACGCCCATGAGCAGGTCGTACTGCGCCTTGGAGCAGGTGCACACCAGCTCGCTCCCGCTCCCCGAGATGAGCGTCGCGCGGCCAGCGCTCGCGCCGACGCCGCGCTCCACAGACAGCCGCAGCGACACGTCCTCGATCATCTGCGACAGCCCGCCCGTCGCCTCGAGCGCCCCCTCCCCCTCCGGCAGCAGCGCAGACAGCTGCATGCGCTCGATCGCGACCACGATGCAGTCAAGCAGCTCGGCGCCACCACCCCCCGGCCCGGCCGCGGTCCGGCGCTCCAGCGAGTTGTGCACCGCGATGCTGCCCAGGTCGCCGCGCAAGCCATCCGACGAGTCGGGCTCGAAGGGCAGGAGGACGAGCGGACTGCCAACCTCGATGTCGAGCGCGATCGCAGACGCGTCCTCGGCGCCGTCCGCCAGCACCGACCGAGCCACCTGCACCACCGTGCTCGCCGTCGCGCTCATCAGCGCGCCCAGCACGCCCTCCTGCAGGTAGCCGACGATGCGCATCACCGCCGGGTGCCAGTAGCTCACGCGCACCGAGCTCATCCGCAGCCGCAGCGACGTGTCGCAACGCAACGCCGCCCGCGCCGCCGCCCGCGCCTCCTCCGCCGGCGAGTCGTACTCGAACGTGAGCAGCGATTGGGCGCCCTCGCGCAGGCCGAGCATCTCGTACTCGCCGCCCGCCACGGTGGACGTGTCCTGCACCGTCAAGTTGCCCAGCTGACCGCTCACCGACATGCCGCCCTCGGGCAGGAACGACACCTCCGTCACCAGCTCGCGCATCGCAAACACGCCGAGCTGCTGCGCCGCGCCGCCCTGCACGTTGAGGCTCACGCTTAGTGCCTGCAGCTGCGCGAGCACGCGCAGGCCGCCGGCGCGCTGCTCGCCGTCCGCCGCAGGAGCCACCGCCGTCCCCGCCGCCGCCGCCGCCGCCGCCGCCGCCGCCGCCGCAGGAGCGCCGAGCGATGCGGCGTCGGGCGGCGCAGCGGCCGCGGCTCCGGCGGCGGGTGAGCGGAAGAAGGCGAGGAGCGCGGTGATGGTGGCGGGGTTCCACTCGAGGTGGAGCCGGTTGAAGCGCACGTGCAGCTCGTCGGCCGCCCCAGCCGCCGAGCGCAGGTACTGCAGCTGCACTAGCGAGGACTCCTCCGGACCGCCCCCTGCAGAGGCTCGCGATGGGTTCGACTCCACCAGCCGCGAGCGGAGAGGATCCTGAGGAGACATGGGATTGGGGCAGGGGCGAGCCGTGTGGAGAGAAGGCAGGGGACAGGAGGGAGAGGGAGAGAGTCGGCGGACAGCACAAAGAGAAGGCAGCGGAGAGCGAAGCGAGGCGGGCAGGCATGGGAGCAGCAGAGAGCAGGGAGGCGGCGAGGAGGCAGGGGGCAGTTGCGACCGCCGCGGTGCGATCGTCGACGTAGAGCTCGTCGAGCCGGAAGTGGGCGCCTTGCCCCGCCACGTCTCGGTGCGCGGTGAGCTCGATGCCGCCCGCGTGGAGCGACGCCAGCGGAGCGCCTTCGCGTCCGACCAGCGACAGCCGGACCCGCTGCACGAGGAAACGCGCCCGCGTCCTCTCAATCGTGGCCAGCGGCTGCGCGCCCGCGGGAAGGTCGGCGCCCTCCGCGGCCAATGCGGCGGGCACGCCGGCCTCGCCGGCTGGCTCGGCAGTGCCGCTCTGCAGCGACTCGAGGATGGCAGCGGCCATGCGCAGCTGCTCGGGCGACAGCTGCAGGTGCAGCGACTGCGAGCTCGCCTCGGAGAGGGAGCCTATTCGCAGCTTGCCGTTTGGTACGCCGCGGCTCTCTTCTCCTGCCCAGCCTCGCTTCGGAGAGGGAGAGCCGGAGACGACGACGTGGTTGAAGGCGTGCGACGAGGGCGGCAAAATGCAGCGCTGCAGGCCGACGTCGACGCCGAGCTCGTAGACCTGTGCACAGCGACGCGCGTGTTAGGACGCCGCCGACACCTCAACAGACCGCCGCATCCGAGCACCAGGTAATGGGCCCGCTCTGGCGCCGCGCGCAGGCTGGCTTTGCTCGGCGAGAGGATGACCTGTTCACAGCGTGCAGGTGTGAAGAGACGCCGTTCACAGCTCCTCGAGCAGCTCGGCGAGAGGAGGACCTGCGAGAGACGAGCGGAAGCGAGCCGAGGTGCAGCCGAGGTCTAGCCGAGGTGCAGCCGAGGTGCAGCCGAGAGGCAGCCGAGAGGCAGCCGAGGTGCGGCCGAGGTGCAGCCGAGGTGCAGCCGAGGTGCAGCCGAGAGGCAGCCGAGAGGCAGCCGAGGTGCAGCCGAGGTGCGGCCGAGGTGCAGTCTGTTCGGGGAGAGGGTGGCCTGGATCGAGCTGATGCTGAGCGCGAAACGGTCGTACAGCCACTCCGGTCCGTCGCCGCTGCCCTCTGCAGACGCGTCGGCGGCGGCGGCGGCGGCCGTCTCGCCGCCCTGCGCCACCATTGAAGCGAGGCTGATCGCGCCCATGTCAAGGACCAGCACGCCCGTGTCGGGCGAGCTCAAGTCCTGCGGCAAGACGAGGCGCGGCGCGGCGAGGCGCAGCTGCACGTCGGTCGACTTTCGTCGCGCGAGAACCGACTCGAGTGTCACCTCGCGCAGACTCTCTGCCTGCTGCCGCACGAGCTGCGCCAGCTCGGCTCGCTCCGACTCTCCGAGCACGTCGAGGAAGCGGCGGACCCGGTCGAGAAGGCGGGCGTTGTGCACGAGCTCGAGCGGCGTCGCGACGGTCACCTCGAGGCGCTGATCCACCGGCTGCAGCTTTGCAGGGCAGTGCAGCAGCCGAAACGTCCACTGAGGGGCCACCTCGACCTCGCCCTCACCCTCACCCCCCGCCTCCGCCCCCCCCGCCGCGGCGCAGACGGGCGAGGGTGGCGCCGCCCGCACCACCGCCGCGCCAAACGACCCGAACGCCGCCGTGCAGTCGGTGAGCTCCACGCCGGCGAGACTGCCCTCGACGAGCGTGCCGGCGTACAGGCTGGCGGCGTGCCTACTCTCGCGGGTCATCGCGGGTCATCTCGGGCGGTCTCGCGGACTCCCGCTGCGGCAAGGCTGGCGGCGTGCATGGACAGGCGGGAGAGAGTGAGCCGCGCGACGCTCGCGCTCGCGGCGGCGCCGCCCTCGCTCTCGGGCGGCGCCGCCTCGACCAGGACCAGGGAGAGCTCGTCTAGCCGGGCGCGCAACTCGTACTCGACGCTGCCCGCGTCGCCGTCCTCGGCGGCCTCCTCCTCCGGCGGGGGAGTACCGGCGAGCAGCGCCGCAAGCTGCTCGCGCTGCTCGCTGCTCAGCGGCGTGCCCTCCACCTCCAGCTCGCCGTCGACGACGGCCGGCGCGTTCTCGAGGCTAGCGGGCTCCGAACCCGTCACCCATCCCCACCACGTGCCGCGCGCCTCGGCCGCCGGCGCCGCCGGCTGCTTGGCGGCCGCGCGCTCGGCGTCGAGCTGCAGCGTCGCGAGGGAGCGAAAGTGCAGGATGTCCTCCACCGAGAGCTGGTCCCGCTCGAGCGCGCGAAGCTCACGCGCCTCGCTTGGCTCGAGCTCGGGGGACGCGCCTTGCTCGCGCTTGTACAGCCCGACGTACCGCAACCGCACCTCGCGCCGCGCCTCAAAGAAGCCTGCGCCCAGCCGCCAGCCGCGCTGCCGCCGCCCCTCCGCGACGATGCGCCGCAGCGCGAGCCGCCACGCAGACCGTGCCGACGGGCCGCCGACGATCGGGCGCAGCAGCGCGTCGTTGTCGGCTGCGGAAGATGTGCCGCCCGAGAGGGCGGAGGCCTGGAACCGGTGCACGAACTCGGCCAGCCGCGAGCAGTCGCGCAGCTGCTGCTCGGCGAGTCGGACCTCGAGCGCGGAGAGCGACACCGTGGTTGCCGCCTTCGGCTGCTGCGCGAGGAGCGCCTCCTGCCTGCTGCGGTGCAGCACCACCTGCAGCCGAGGTGTAGCCGAGGTGCAGCCGTCGAGGTGTAGCCGATAGTCGAGGTGTGGCCGAGATGCATGTGTGCGTGTGCGTATGAGTGTGCGTCCGACCGGTTGCGGTGCAGACACCACCTGCACGCTCGCGGAGATCGGGACCATCACGTAGTGCGGCGCAAGTGCAGACGACCCCCTCCCGCCGCCGCCTCCGCCTCTTCCGCCTCCGCCGCCTCCGCCGCCTCCACCGCCGCCTCCGCCGCCTCCGCCGCCTCCGCCTCTGCTGCTTCCTCCCGCAGTGATCCCCGCCTCGCCCTCGCCGCCTCCTTCATCGCTGTGGACCAGGCCGCGCAGCCAGCGCGCGGCCGCGTCGAGCGTCGCGTCCGGCTGCAGCACCCTGTCGCAGGCGCAGTGGTGGTAGACGGCGAGGCAGCGCAGCGCGGCCACCTTGTACTGCACGGACCCATCCGCGTTGTAGGCTCGCTCTCCCCTCTCATCGGCCGAGTAGACGGATAGCTCCGCCAGCGTGGCGCCGAGGGCAAACGGGGCGGTCGAGTTGAGCGCGTCTTCGTAGCGGACGTGCACGCTCCGGAAGGAGAGCTGCACGTTGTTGACGATCCGCGTCAGCAGAGACAGCCGCCCTCCCTGCCCCGCGCCGCCGCCGTCCGCCTCGGCCTCCGTCTCCGACGCCCTCTTGCCGCCCTCCGCCGTCGAGCGCTGTGCGGAGAGGTGGTCGATCCTCGCCTGCTTGCGCGCCCAGCGCCACTCCCGCTTCGCGCCCTCGTCCGAGCGCGACTCGTCCACCGGAGACGCGACCAGGTAGATGCCGTCGAGCGTGATTGTCACCGGCTCCGAGCCGAGACGGTTCCAAGGCAGCTGCAGCTCGGCCCTCTCGATGTACCCGGCTTTGATGTCGAGAGGGAGGCCCCATGCGTACAGCGCCTCGCGACGCAGCTTGAGCCGCTCGAGAGTGATGTGTCCCTTCCACACCGCAACCTTGAGCGAATTGCGGTCGATGTCCTCGACATCTGCGCAGCGGCGGACGGGGTCAGGAGATAGCGGCGGAGCGGGTGTGCGCGATTTTCGCACATTGGCCGAGGACGCGCTCGAGCACCGAGAGGGCGATGGACTCGAACATCTGTGGAAGCCCTGCGTGTGCTTTGGCAGCGGCCGCCGGCACGGCGGCTGCCGACGGACAGGCGTACCTGGTACCTAGGTTCCAGGGTTCGGCTCCAGGGTGTGGGCTGGGTGTGGCCTGCTTGGACAAAAAGAGAGAGGTCCAAAAATGGCCGCCCTCTACCCTACACGCTCGGCCCCTGCGACCACGCCTCGATCTTCTTGGGCAGCAGCTGCCAGAAGTCTAATTTTTGTTTTGGCAGCAGTGTTCGCCATTGCCCCACGTAAGGATGGCGCCGTCGGCGGTGAAGACGAGGTTGTGTACTCTCCGACCGACACAGCAATGACGCGCTGGCCAGCCAATGCCTCGATCTTCTTCGGCAGCAGCTGGCTCTGCTGTGGCCCAACCGGCCTTCGCCTCCACGGCCCCAGCTCCAGACAGCGCCGTCGGCGGTAAGCGCGAGGTTGTGCGCGAACCCAGCGGACACGGCGACGACGCGCCGCCCAGCAAAGGCCTCGATCTTCTTGGGCAGCAGCTGCATTTGCTCGTCGCCGTGGCCCAACTTGCCATACGCTCCATCGCCCCACCTCCAGACGCCGTCGGCGGTGATTGCCATGCTGGTGGTACGCTCCAGCCGGCACGGCGACGACGTGCTGACTCGCCAAGAAGTCGATCCGGTCTGTTTTCTTTCTTTTTACGTGGCCCCAGTGTGAGTTTCACACCTTTGGTGGTAGGGTATCGGGCGCGCGCGGGGCACAGTGGTGCGGCAGTTTGCGGGCAGGGCAGTGGTACGGCATTGCAGGGCTGAGATTTCGGGATCTAACAAGCAAGTGTTGTACGTCTGGCAATGTTGTATCAAGAAGCAGAAATCGCTCACTGTAAACACCCCCAAACCCCCAAACCTAAGCGGGTGCGCGGCACAGCGTGAGCTGGTTGGCGCTCGCAGAGCAGCCGCAGCCGCAGCCGGGGTTGATGTTGCACGTCATGTCGTACTCGAGCACGGCACCATTTGAGCCGCGCTGGAACAGCCCGTCCTCCATCGTGGCCCGGATGTTGCAGGAGCGCAAGCAGAGGCAGTCCGTGGGTGTCGAGCTAAAGCTACTCCCGACGAAGAGGTCCGTGTTGAGAGGGGTGGGGCTGAGGCCGTGCGTCGGATGCGCCACGCCGAGGAGCTCACCTGTGACGGCGGAGGCAGGAGGCAGGTCTGACACGTGTTGGTCGGTGGAGACCAGAGCCGTTTGGCGGGCGAGCGCACCGCCATCCCCCACAACCTGCTGGTTGGTGGAGCAAGTGAGCGCCTCGCCTCCGGGCGCACACGTGCAGTCGCCGCCCGAGCCGTCCAGCCAGTAGCTGTAGTTTTGCTGCACGACCACGCTGGCGCCGCAAGGATGTGGAGGCGGTGGCGAGGGAGCAGGAGAAGGGGGCGGCGGCATCGACGGGAGGGGAGAAGTGGGCGGCGGCGGCGGCGGAGCGGGGGACGGTGGCGGAGAGGGCTGCAGCACCGGCCCCTCCGGCCCGAACTGTGCGCTGACGTGCGCTCTGAAGGCGTCTGGGCATGCCACCTTCCTGAACCTGAGCCGCGACGGGTCTCCGCGCGTCCAGCCCCAGGAGGTGAAAAGCCGGCAGCCGGCGACGAACGGTGCCGGAAGCTGGTCGCACAAGACAGCGCACTGGCGCGTGTCGGCACAGCTTTCCCACCATCGGCCGAGTAGTTCGCTCTGCTCCTGGTTGTCGAACCCCGTTCCCGCTCGCTCGCTGCACACGTTGGCTGTGGACGCGGGCAGAAAGTCGAAGCCGGGAGCCGCAATGTCAACATGGAGCTCGCCGTCCCCGCAGCCGTTGGTCCACGGCGGACAGCGGTTCTTTTTCATCACGACAGCCGTCCAGCCCGCATTAACGGCGTCAGGATTCTGCACAAGCAGGCAGTTTCCACAGCCGCTGGGTATCGGGGTGCGTCCGCAGCACGGGTCGTCGTCGCCAAGCATTGCAGCGAGGCTGTCCGAGGCAGCGCCGAGTAGCCACATCCGCTCCCCGTAGGCTGCGCCGCCGTGGTCTGCGGGGTCCTGAGGACCATAGCCCGGCGGCGAAACGTAGGCTGCTCCTTCTTTCCACGGCTGAAGCGTCGTGGCGTCACAGCCCTGTCCATTACAATCCCAGTAGTGCGTCGCTGCCATCAGTCGGTCATCCCACGCAGGCGGCGGTGGCGATGGAGGAGGTGGTCTCGGCGGTGCCGCGGGCGTTGTCTCGGAGTTAGGGGTCGCCAAGGTGACATTGTTGGTGTTCTCGCTCTCTTGCCGGTCCGCGCTTACGAGGAGGCCGACGCCAAGAGCGAGACCAATCACGGCAAGGGCGAGGCATGCGAGGAGCCAGCGCCTGCCGGCAGCCCACGAGTTTGCCACCACGTGGCTCCGGCGTCCAGTGCGGCCTGGTCCGTTTTTCATGCAATCGCCACGCTTTAGCGCCCAAGGAACGCATTGCGAGAGAGTCTCGAGGTCTCGAGGTTTCATTACGTTTTTGTGGTTTGGCATATGGGGATCCCCCCCCCCCCCCCCAGGTTTCATTGCGACTCTACCGATAACAGTCAGTCATTGTTTAGCCGCGTGGGGCGTCCCTGTCCGGCTGGCCGCTAAGTGGCGTGGCGCTCACTCAGCCCTCAGTCTTCCTTCCGTCCGTTCAGCGATGGCGCGCTCGCCGGCCCGCGTGCGCGCGCATGCGCGAGCGTTCCGCCCACCTCTGGCGCGGCGGGACTGCGCCGAGTGGGCGAAACGTGTCACGACCAAACAGTCTCTGCACGCGCTCGACTGAATGGCCAAGCTTGGAAGGCGCTCCCGCCGGTAGCGCGACTCAGCAGCTCTCGAGAGCTCTTAGCTCGCGTCCGACGAGCCAAGCAGCGTCCCGGGCGTGGAGTAGCGCGCAAATTGGGTCAGCTCGCGCTCTTACTTTGAGTTCCGGGTGCCCAATAAAGTGGTGCACGAGCGTGCGTGGGTATAGGGGTTTTGCAGATCGTACCACGGCACCTGACGGATGGCGCGCCGCAGCCGCTCCTCCGACATGACGTACTTGACGAAGGTGTGGCCGGCCCGATCGGTACTGCCTTCAGACGGGCCTTGATGCTGTCTGAAAGGGCCGATATCGAGCGGTAGCATCTGGGGCAGCCTGGTCACGCTTGCCGCGACTAGCGCTCGTCTGCTGCACGCGCGGCTCGCGAGGCAGCCTTCTGACTCCACAGCCCGCACAAACACCCGTTTAGGCGAGAGGAGAGTCGTCCCCCCCCAAGTCAGCGCAAAAACGCTGGTGGATGAGTATTAGTGTATCGCGCGCCTTGCGGGGGGGGCGCGGAAAAGAGGAACCTCTTGGCGTCATCGCCATGGTGCTGCAAGCAGCGCCGGGCAACGACGGCTTACCGCCTCCCGGTCCCCCTCGGCACACCTCCGCTGCTTAATGTTTGACGACTCGAACCCGTGAAGCTTCCCCGTGCGCGGGATTACCCCGCACACGGGTCAGCCTGCCAGCCACGTATCCACGCAAGCGTGGTCCGCGCGCATGGCATACAGGCGTTCGCCAGACAGCGCAGAGGCTAGGCGACCGGGGAAGGACTAGCTCAAGGGCAACACAGCGTCACCAGCCGTTGGCGCGCAGAACCAGTCTGCGGCCCCCGGTTGGGACGGGTGCGCGACGCGGACGAACCGCTCAATGTGGCCGGCAGCTCGCGCTGCCGGCGGGGTTGGTTGGGGAGAACCGGCACGGGGAAAGCCGGCCTCCCCGGAGGGTTCGCCCCCTGGAGGGGCCCCAAAGGGCCCCCCGGGGGGGCGGGGCCCCCCGCCCCGAGGGGCGGGGGCAGGTTCGTCGCTTAGCGCGATGGAGTCAACCCTTGTTGCCAAGTCGGCGAGCGTGTTGTGTATCGAGAGAGAGACCATAGCAGGTGTGAGAGCGGCGTCGTCCGGGGAGAGTGGTGGTGGGGGAGGGTCAACATCGAGGGCAAGTACGCTATTATTCCTTCGAAGTCGACGACAGTTGCACCGCTGCAAAGGGCGTGCGTGGTGGTGCGGTGAGGCCGCGGACTCGGCCATCATCCGCGGGTGAGAGGGCGAGAGGAAGCATGTCCGCCCTCTGAGGCGGCAGTCCGAGTCGGGGAGGCACGCGCCCGACCATCCTCGTGGGTGTGGGCGGCCTTCTCGGCCCGCTATACTAACCCTAAAGCCGTAAGTCGGCCCTTCCTCGTGGCTGGCTTCGGAGGCCCCGGCCACTACGGTCGCGCAATAAATAACAAAAAAACGTCCCATAAGCTCGGGTGCTCAACCGTGGTCAGTACTGCTACGCATATGCACGGAGGCCCATATGCATACGCATCACATCACGCCCTTTCGGGAATACGTAACCACGGTGCGTGTACGTCACTTGCCAGTCCAAATGCGTCGCATTACGCAGCCCGTCGAACGCCTCCCCCTTCAAAAAAATAGAAGACGTCAATACATACACGTAATCATCGCGTGCGTGACGGTGCGATGGCCCTGTGGTTGCCTCATACGTACCACGTGTGTCACGTATACGGATTATGGATCTCAGCCGGTGCGCCGCGGCCCGCGGGGGGGCGGGGCGTCTTCGACGTATCACGTATCCGCATTACGCATACGTCTTTTTCACCGCGAGCTTTGCCCGGGGGATGGTACAATGGCCCGCGCGGCGGGTGCCTTACGCGACTTACGTACCACGGTCACGTTTACGGATTAGGTATATTTCGCCCCGGGGGCCCCCGAGCCCCCCCCCCCCCCCCGCTTGTACGTATCACGCATACGCATTACGTGGATTTGCATCGCGCGTCGGGTCGCCGCGGTTGGGCGGGCAGTGAGGGAGGCCTTGCGATGCGACATGGATGTCATGGAGGCGATTGCCTTTGGGCATCAAGTCGGCGATGCCTGTGATTTTTTTCTGCGCGTTTGACTCGCATGTGGAGCTTTGGCGGCGGTCTCGGGCACGGACGGCGCGCGTCGGTTGCGCAAGGCGTTACTCTCGAAACTCGTCGTCGACGACGCAAATGGTGCTCGAACTCCCCGCGGCCCGAACCGGTGCCTGCCTTCCGGGTGTCTCGCGCCGAGCGGGGGGGGGGGGGAAAGGATGAATCTCTTCCCAAGAGCACCACTCTTGGAGCGCCGCCACCACGACGGCTCTGCGACGGCTCGAACCCGCTAAGCCATCCCGCAAGCGGGATGGCCCGCCACTCGAACCCGCAAGCGGGCGTACGAACCGCGAGCGGCTCGCACTCGTGGCACGCAGGCGTCGAGAGACGGCGCCGGGGCTAGGCGACCGAAGAGAAACATCGCAGCCTGCTGAACGCGATCGCACATTTGCTACTGATCCAAAAGACCGTGAGCGGGGACGAGACCGCCGCTCTCGTTCACGAAGAGACATCGTGAGCGTCGACGAGAGAGGAAGCATGTCCGCCCTCTGAGGCGGCAGTCCGAGTCGAGGAGGCACGCGCCCGACCATCCTCGCGGGTGTGGGTGGCCTTCTCGGCCCGCTATACTAACCCTAAAGCCGTAAGTCGGCCCTTCCTCGTGGCCGGCTTCGGAGGCCCCGGCCACTACGGTCGCGCAATAAATAACAAAAAAACGTCCCATAAGCTCGGGTGCTCTCAATCGTGGTCAGTACAACGACAATGGCAGTGAAGTACCAAGAGACACCTTCTCCGCCGACAGTCAAACAGTTCCCTCGAGGTCTCACAGGACCCAACACAGCAGGTTGCAGAGGCGCGCGGGCCTCGCCCCGACCCCTCGCCCGTTCGCGTCGGCGACGGGAGAGGAAAGGAGAGGCGGCCGAGCAGGCGAGGCCGGCAGTCATATCCCCTCACACATGAAGATGGCTCGCACGATGCTGACTAGAGTCTAGGCCCGAGGAGGACCTTTGCAGCTGTCGCGCGTGCCGGCGGAGTGGCGCTGCGTGGAGGCACGGCGGGGCGGATTGGGGCCGACGAATGCTCCACACACTTCAGTCCGCTCACGCCGTCGGGCGGCGGAAGAGCATGTTGGCAATTAAGTCACATCCGCGGCCGCACGTCGATCACCTCGTACGCGAGCCCCCCCTCGACCGTCACCGTCTCGACGTCGCCCGTCGGCTCCAGGTACGTCAGCGGCGGGAAGAGGAACTCCGCCTCGCCGGGAAAGGCGGAGAGGAAGCAGATGTCGGGGCCGCGTTGCATGAAGGACTCGGTAATAAGTCGCAGCAGCACCGACGTGCTGCTCGCCGAGTAGCGCATCGCCACGCTGAGGTCGGACGTGGTCGACATGGGCGCCAGCTCGGTGCCACCTTGCGCCATAAAATCAGCCGGCGCCGTCACGTCTTTCATGCCGCGGTAGAGATAGACGCGGCGCATCGCCGTCTTGCCCGAGTTCTGATCCGCCTCCACCGCCCGCAGCTTGCCGAGGGCGTCGCGAAGCAGCGCCACCGTGACCGGCAAATGGTGCGGCTCGCCGCGCTCGAATCGCGCCTTGTCACGGAGCGGGTTGTTGATCGAGCGGAACGCCTGCGGTCAGGGAGAAGGTGAGAGGGCAAGAAAGGATCGAGATCGCGGGAGAGGGAGAAGGGGGTGCCTGCGTTGTGTAGAGGCGAAGTGCGACCACGTGCGCCTCGGTCAGGTTCGCGTGCCGCGCGCTCGCGTGGGAGACAAAGTCCTCCAGCCGCATCCCACGCACCGCGCCGCTGCTGTCAGTCACGGTGCGGCACGCCATCACCCTGCCGCGCTCGTCGCAGTCGCGCTTCAGCCCGCCTTGATAGGTGCGGTCGCTCGAGCCCGCCTCGGCGTGCAGGATGTAGCTTAGGCACTCGCGGTCGTCGTCAGTTCCGCCGGCGCTCACCTCCCGCACGATGGCGGCGGTGCCCTCGAGCAGCCCCTGCGGAACAACTTCTGGCGCCACGCACATATAGTGCTCGATCCCCAGTGCCGCCTGTGCTGGCCGGCCAAACACGAGCTCGCTCGGCAAGGTGGCGAAGCGGTTCTCTTTGGTGGCTGCAGAGGCGATGAGTATCGTCTCGAGGCCACCGTCGAGTGAAGCGACGGCCTCGAGCATCATGTCGCGGAGCGACGGCCTCTCCACTGGTGCTTCGCCATGCGGGGTCTTGCGGCAGCTGTGGCCGCGGCGCAACAGCACAAAGAAGATCACGACGAGTAGGACGATGGCTCCCGCGGCGACGCCCCCCGCGATGGCGCCGACGGGCGCGCTTGCCTCGCCGCCGGTTGTTTGGCCTTGTGCACTCTCCCACTCTCTCAGACAGACGTCCCGGTTTGGAGCTCCGCAGCACGGGGCCGTAGGTTCGCAGACGGTGATCGTCGGTGGGCCGCATGCGAGGTCTGCAGCGGAAGTTGTCTCCTCCTCAATCATGTGGATCACGCCCTCGCCGACAAGCCCTGTGGGAGCAGATATGATGAGAGTGAGGTCCAGGTTAGTCGCGGCATCGCAGTCATCCGAAAGCCTCCGCCCAGAGACTGCTGCTGCGAGGTTGCAAGCTGGCGTGGGCGGTGATGGCGCTTCGTGAAGCGGCGGGAACGCGAGGGCCGGGACACAATCGCCAGTAGCGAGGTTGCTCTCAACCTCGATCTCGCGGCAGGTTTGTGCTCCGACCTGGGTCAGGTTCACGAGCAGCGAAGCACGCTCCTCGTCGCACAGGCCGTAGT